CCCACCACCCGCGGCCCGGACCACAAGTCCCGGCGGGCGCTGCGGCGGAGCCTGCGCTCTCAAGGCACGCCGGGATCCCGACGGGGCCGCCGCGGCCCGCCCTGGGCCCTGGGGCTGGGAGTTGTAGTTCTGCTGGGAGTTGCGCGCTGCCCGCTGGACCGGAGGCAGAGCTGAGAGAGTGGTCCTGTCTTCTTTCCTCCCCCACTTTCTTCTTCCTTCTGTCCGTTCTTCCTTTTCTCCCGCCTCTTTCCCTTTCTCTTCTTCCTCAATTTCTCCTTCTTTCTGTAAAGGTTTATTCAACGCCTGCTCACTGCTTCAAGAGCTGAGAATGTAGTGAATAGACAAAAATACCTGCCCTCATGGAGCTTACATTCTAGTCGGGTAAAACACAATAAGTAAAATCGTTAACTTTTGAAGTGAGATTAAAGGCGACATGTGCCAGATTGCTACTGCTTTCATTACTACAGCTCTAGATTAACTAAGTGGTTTTTAGCAGCCCTCTTACATGGGAGGTTGGTTGGGGAGGGAAGATATTCGACCTCTGAACTGATGCACCCATTATAAGAAGTCCAGGAAACTGAGAATCAGGGAAGGAACTGCAGGTGCACAGAGCTCCTCTCTCCAACTCTGGAAATGATTCCCCACTATTTAAAATAATTTATTCTCTGCCGCTCCCCCTCAACATCTCTTTCTTACTAATGATTGCTCAATCTTTCTTGCCAAGGTAATATAGTTGACTTTGTATAAGTTTATAATATGAGATGCTGTGGCTGAAGGGGCCCCTCCAAACGATGCTTTGGAACCTTGTCCAAGCCTTGGAGGACCCCTTTCTCTGGACCAGGTCTCCTTACTTTGCTTCTTGTAAAATGCAGTGAGGACACGAGAATGGCCTTTCCCCATCTCCATCCAAGGCATTCAGATATTGTCCAGCCCTCTGCTAAAAGTGATTTTTTTTTTCTTTCTAACTTCCAAGCAGTGTGGATCCCATAGCTCATTTAGGTAAAGGAGCAGACATAGAAAGGTTTCCCGAAACTCAAACTTGGGTCATGGGCACAATCAGACAATCTCTTCAAAGGTGATTTTACTGTCACCCCTAGGGACCCAAGTGGTGCACCTCCAACTTTCAGTCTCAATTTTCTACTTTTCTTCCATACATTGTGGGGGAGATCCCTCTATTTCTTTTTTTAATAGAGACATTAAATAAGTATGATTTTTAGATAAAAACCAACTTCTCATCGGGCTTTTATGAGCTTTGCATGTTCTCATTCTTTATCTTCTGGGAAGGAACACACAGATTTTAGTGTAACATACTTAATAGTCAAAATTTCTTACTTTTTTCTTTTTTTTGGCAGCTGGCTGGTACAGGGATCTGAACCTTTGACCTTGGTGGTGTAACACCACGCTCTAACCAACTGAGCTAACCAGCCAGCCCCACAATTTCTTATTATAATCTTCTTTCCAAGAAAAACAAAATTCCTTAATTACTTAGTGAGAATCAAGAGGTCTTCAGGCCCCTGGAAGAGAAATTGACTGACAGTCTCTAGGAAAAACAAATCTAAGTAACCCACTCCTGAACCCCAAGCAGCCCTATGGCTAACCTATGCTTTGGTTAAATACAATTCCTTGGATACACAAAGTGAAAGTTCAGAGTAGTTCTCAAAACAAGGTGTGTTAAATCTTCAGGTTGTTGTTGTTCTTCTTCTCTTTTTCTCTCTTCTTTGTTTTTAGTCTTAATTGGTTGGTATCATTCTAAACTTACATAATCTGGCTTTGTGTCATCACTTTTAAAATGAGGCAAATTTGGCTGCACAGAGCCTGCTGGGTGGCAGCTACACCCTCTAGGTGGGGCATATTCTGTTCATTTCACCATAGTCCCCACCCTGCCCACATCTCTCATTTATGTTACTTTCCTGTTCCTGTTGACATTTGAGTTTGTGGTGCCTGCCCTACTGTGTAAATGCATGGACCTAATATGGGTATATGGAGCTGATGACTCATCAGACAGACCCTGGTCAAATAATCTCCAAAGTGCAATTGTGATAAGCACAGGAAAGAAAAGTACATGGTGCTATAAAACCCTAGCTTCAGATTTGGGGAAGGAGCATCCCAAAGCATTGTAGCTTTAGCAAAGATCTGCAGGACACATAGTTGGTAACCAGGCAAAAAGGCTACCGCAAGTGTTCCAAGCAGTGGGGGAAGTATGTACAAAGCCCTATGTTAGGACAGCATGTGGCCCAGGTTCCAATTACTATTGCTACAAAACAAGTCACTCCCAAACTTCATGGCTTAAAAGAACAGCAACTATTTTATTATTGCTCATAGATTCTGTGGGTCAGGAATTTGGGAAGGGCTTGGCTGAGAGATTCTAACTTGGGGCCCATCGTGTGGCCCAGGTTCCAATTACTATTGCTACAAAACAAGTCACTCCCAAACTTCATGGCTTAAGAGAACAGCAACTATTTTATTATTGCTCATAGATTCTGTGGGTCGGGAATTTGGGAAGGGCTTGGCTGAGAGATTCTAACTTGGGGCCCATCATGTGGTCATACTCAGATGGTGCTCCAAGTGGGATCACAGGGGTTAGAGTACCAGGGATAGGGGGTAGAGGGGGTGGCAGGGGGCTGACTGGGAATCTCTTTCTCTTTATGCGGCCTTAGGGTCTATCCCTGTGGTCTCTCTGCATGGTTTAATTTGATCTTCCTCACGCTATGGTGGCCTCAAGGCTGTTGAGTTGTTTACATAGCAGCTGAAGGCTTCATGAATAAGTATTCCAGCCATCAAGGCACAGCTGTATTGCCTTATGTGACCTAGCCTTGGACGTCACATAGAGCCACATCCCTTGTACTTTATTGGCTACAAAAGAAACACAAGCCTGTCCAGATCCAAAGGTAAAGGAATCTACCTCCCGGAGGGAGAGTGTAAAGATCAAGAACAGCATATGTGACAGGACATACTGTTGAGTAATCTTTGGAAAATACGATCTCTACCACCCATTTTGTAGAACTGAAAAGGCCAGCATGGCTGCCACTCAGAGCAGATGGAGGTATCATTTAAGATGAGGCTGGAGGCCGACAAAGGCCAGACAATGCCTTGCTCATAGACCTTAGTAAGGAGCTCCATCTCTATTTTAATGGCAATGACAAGCATCTGGAGAGTTTTAAACAGGAAGTGAGATAGTCATATTTGAGTTTTGCAAAGATCCTCTGGCCAGTCTGTGGAGAGGGGGACTGGAGGGAGATCCAAGTGGGGCTCAGTGAGGTGGCTGCCATTGTCATCCAGATGAGGGAGGACAGTGGCCTGGACTTAGGTGATGGTGGACATAGGGAAGAATTACACGGGTTCAAGAGTTACTCAGGAGAGTGTACAGAACATGGATGTGCATGGGGGGAATGGAGGGAAGGGTAAGAGAAGTATCCTGAATGATCGCTACTTTCAGCCTTAGCACCATCTTCTTAGAAACCTCTGAACCATGAAAGCCAAGTGGCGGAAGAAGCAAATGCACAGGCTGAAGCATGAAGAAGAAAGATGAGGCAGTCGCTACTTTCAGCCTTAGCACCATCTTCTTAGAAACCTCTGAACCATGAAAGCCAAGTGGCAGAAGAAGCAAATGCACAGGCTGAAGCATGAAGAAGAAAGATGAGGCAAAGATCCAGGTCAATGGCCAGTTTGTGCACCATGAAGGCCACAGGAGCAGAAATATGGAATGCTGGAGGCTGGGATGCTGGTACAAGTTGTTGGACTGCATGCTACTGACTAGAACTTGTCTCACAATGGATCTAGGATTTCCATCACCATCTGATTGCCAAGACCACCTCTGAGAGACCCACCTTGCTTATCCCAGAACAGTCCCTGTTTGTCCTTTGCCTTGGACCTGTGACATTCTAGGCTAGTTCTGTTTTCAGTTGTGGCCAAGTGTAACATGTATAATAAATCATCTCTTCTGCTGTCTTGACTGAAGAATAAAAAAAAAAAAAAAAAGAATGACTG